AAAAATAACAACACTTTGTCAGGACCATGAGGCGATCATTCCTACCAACTTTCAGTTCAATCGGTCCAGCAGAACTTGACTTTAAGTTTGAAATAGGTTTTCAAAATGGCGGCCGTGGCGGCCATATTGGATTTCTGATCGACCCGAAAAATAACAACACTTTGTCAGGACCATGAGGCGATCATTCCTACCAACTTTCAGTTCAATCGGTCCAGCAGAACTTGACTTTAAGTTTGAAATAGGTTTTCAAAATGGCGGCCGTGGCGGCCATATTGGATTTCTGATCGACCCGAAAAATAACAACACTTTGTCAGGACCATGAGGCGATCATTCCTACCAACTTTCAGTTCAATCGGCCCAGCAGAACTTGACTTTAAGTTTGAAATGTAAAATGTTAACGGACGACGACGGACGAAAACGGATAGCAATAGGTCACTTGAGCTAAAGCTCAGGTGACCTATAAAGTAAGCAATCTAACAATCTGCTCAAACGCCTGTGCACTATATAATATGACACTATATATTTACCTCATTGTGGAAACTCGTCTACTCGTGTCGGTTCGGTATGGGTCCTTGGGGTCATTGACGATGACTCGAAACATTTGTTTTAAGTTGCAGTTTTCAGACGATCACTTCAAGCTGTATACACTGCCATTTATTATTTATTTCTGAACAAAATCTCTGTCAACAGTCAAGACGGAATTGCTGTAATGCTTCGAATGAAACGTTCAACGTCGAGACCTTCATGATCAGCTGTTCAGTAGAGTAGAGAAGTGTCGCAGTCAGTGTGATGGGTAACGGTCATAATTCTTCCATCGTACGAAATTACCTATTCCGTTCAAGTGATGATAAACTCTGATTATCGTTTGTTCTATTCAACATGTATAAACTCTGATTATCGTTTGTTCTATTCAACATGTAGATAAGTGAGCAATAACAACGGAAAGCACATATTCTTTCACTTTCAGACTTCATCCTCAGCAGCTGTCATATCGCTGTCATCAGCTGCGATAGTAAACTTCCGGTGTAAACGACTTTCGTTCTTATTTACGAGAGTTCAATATCAGATGGTCGGACTGGATAGTTTTCATTTTTTTTGACGTTCTTAATTGTTGTTATTAATTGTCGATAACAGTTTTTAAATCCAAGCGTGGTGTCGTTAGGTTACCGTAAATCATTCTGAAATTTAGCCAACATGCGCAGCTTCCTGCGCAGTGGCGCTAAATTTGAGAAGGATGGACCCACCTTAAACTGAAATAAGATCTGCATCATTTTAAGAGTGGTTAGCTGTGATGACATGCTATAAAAAATGTAGGAGAAAATCTCAGGACAAAAAATCAAATACTGAAATGAACAAAACGCAATAACTTTTGCAAAAATTGTCGAATCAAAATTCTGTTGAGGGAGAAACAACTTCATATTATGATAATAATGTATACCAAGTTTCAAAGAGATCCGTTGAAAAATGTAGGAGAAGATTGCCGGACAAAAATCAAATACTAAAATAAACAAAGGGCAATAACTTTTGCAAGAATTGTTAAATCAAAATTCTATAATGGGAGACACAACTTCATATCATGATTATGATGTATACCAAGTTTCAAAGAGATTGGTCGAAAAATGTAGGAGACGATTGCCGGACAAACAAAAGTTTATGCCGGCCAGCCGGCCGGCCGACCCCATACCATAATACGTGTACTCCCGTCAAATTTGACGGGCGTATAATAAAATCAACTATGTTTTAGGAATTGGTAGAGTACATGTACAGGGGGAGGTTATATGGTATATAATTTTTAAATTCTGGTCTAAAATTTTCATATCGCTATACCTATAAGATGTAGACTCCATAACAGTGGTATATGTGATTCACCACATACAGCATCCAGCCGTGTTATCCAGCTGTGTTACATCCGGTTTTTGAACTTTCATGAACAAAATGTTCAGTTATGATCTAGAAATGCAGTATGTAGGTAAAATGATTTGACTTTTTTTTTTACTTTGCTGTGATCTTTGAACATGAGAAATGTACTGTAATTGTCACATAGCTACAGGACATTAGTCACTCCATTCATCCGGAACACATGACCAGTACTTAGTAAAGCTAAATATAGCTCTGTTAAGAAGTTATAGGCTGGAAAACATAACTATATGATTTGTCATTTATTAAATAATTAATCATGTAGACTCGTTCTTGCTGTGAACTTGATCTTAGGGGTACAGACCCAAAAGATGCACATTACACACTTTCCAGTGTTCAGATGTCCAAAACTACCGGCCTAGCGATGAAATGTACAGCACATAGAAGGACGGGCATAAACATATTGGTACTATTCTATTCAGGTCCACCTGCTTCAGGACTTTTTTTATGATGTGGGTTTTATATAAATCATGCATTATTTATAAGTTGATGACATACTTGTAGCCAATATATACAGTATGAGTAAAAGATTTAGATAGATAAGATGCATATATACGGGAATCTAGAAACATTACAAGCATATCAAACATGTACACTGTACTTTATTCATTTACCACTATCTGAACTCTACCAAGCATGGTACCTTACAAGGGTCCCAACATACAACCATGTTTCCTCTTAATAAATAAGCTTTATAAGGATTACATCAGAATATATCCCACCAACAAGTGATTTGTTTCAGGAGTGGGTTGAGTCATATCACTTAAACCTGTATAATATCAACCGCAGGACTAGGGAGGTAATTTACAAAGTACCTCTACCAAACCTGTGTGATTCAATTGTAAATTTTATGTTCCTGAGAGGTTACAGTTCTATTTAGTAACTAGTCCGGAAGGCCTTTACGACATTGCTGAATTTTGTTGTTGCTAGGTATTATAGGTATTAGGGACCACAGAATATCTAGCCTTTTCCTGCTGTGATCACGAGCTGCTGCTTTATTTACAAGCACTAACATATAATTCATCTAGTTTATGGTTGGTTACATGCATATGAACACACGGCCAGGCACTTTATATAATAATTAGGGTTAAAATTAATCATCTGTAAAATAACACTAAGAATAATGAATATCATCAGTGGAAGCTGATGTCCTAAGCTAAAACAATATATTTTATTTGGCAATTAAAATATTTTTAGTGATATGGTATATAACCTTCTAATATATTATTCAAAGTGACAGAAAAACAATGATTCCTCTTTATAAAGAGCAGGTCAGTGTGCTTCCTATTTTACAATGATGGCTTACATAGAATACCACTCATATCCCATATTTCAGGAATCAAAGATCAAATTTAATTAGATTGTTAATGCAAGTGCAAATTTGTATTAGAATTTGATTGCATATTATAGTATCTGATGAAAGCGTAAAGCAAATTCAGATTGTTAAAATGACAATAAAGTTATCTGAAACAGAGAAAGAATTTCTCCGCGAAAGAATTTTCGAGAACAAAAGGGGACAGAATCCTGGACACCTTTTCTTAAAACAAACAATGTGCAAAACGTTTTGTTTTAAAGCCTATAGCATTTGATTTTATTGACAAAGTCAAGGGCCCATCATGGTCAATTCCAAGACATTGTTTTATAAACGTTGTATGCAACTATGCGTCCCACCAATATACATATTTTATGTACACAATAAACCCTCATTAGTCATATACACATCTGGAAGTGTATACTATTTAACGATCACGGTGCTCATTCTCAGAAATAAATTTCCCCAAGGTATACACAACACAAACAGTCTGACTGAGGGTCATTAATAATACCATGTTGGATGACCTCAGCTACTTCAACACAACTTGGTCTCAGTTATGATCAGCCAAATATAATAAACAATTTATAGTTCTTTTACTCATTACCTAAGCCACTTTTCCATTATTTGTGGAAACAGTTTTTTGGTCAATTTTTCATATACACAAATTGAAATTAGTATTCAATCAATGTTTTTCCACCAAATGTACTTTGAACTTGTAAAAGATATTTTTTGAACCTATTAAACTAACCTGTCCATTTATATGATGTATATATATGTATAGGTATCTTCCTAAAGATCTGTTTGACCATAGTTGATAATCCTTTGGTGGTTCTTCTTTTGTTGGATAAATTCCAGTCACACATTTAAGCATTGAACTGCTTTAGTTGGCATTCATAAAAAATATGAATGCCAACTGCACAAAGGCGAATTCAACAAAGCATGCTAGCACTTCACATTGTATTTACCTTTGTCCAGCACTTCACTGGATTTGCCTTTGTGCAGCATTTCACTGGATTTGCTTTTGTCCAGCAACACTTATTAACTGGTATATAAACCATTTTCAGAATCTTTTTCTGTCATTGAAAATTCAATTTCACTTTTTTTATAATATTGCATTTAGTCTAATTTATGAATTTATCATACCGGTAAATGCTTGTTCAGTGAATAGAACAGCCATCTGTCTAGAGAGGGTGAGCGTTACCCAACATAACAGTTATGACATCAACATTCAGCTCATGGCATTTAAAGCCTACATGAATGTCATCTGGATGCGGTAGGGCTAAACAGTGGCAATTAATGCCATACGATGGTAAATATGCTACTTACTGGGATGTACTCCTCAATGCGCCCTTCTGCATGTGCGACATAAAGTTTGGGCCCCAGATCTTTGGTGGACAGGATAGCAAACACTGCTGTGTTCCGTACTAAGAATTCTTGGTCCTTAGCAATGTCCCCATAAACTCGTAGCAGAACTTCTTTCGGTTCATTTCCCTGTGGTGGATATTTCTTTGGTAGTGAACACAAATACAAGTAGTTAGTCAATCCTCCACTGAAACAAAAATTCCATTATATTGTTCAACTATATTATTGTAAAATTGGAAATGTGCACTTCTTTTCAAAATTAATATTTTAGACCAAAGTCCTAATATATACATGTATGACTATTTCAGAATATTAATTTTCTAATATTAGTTAACTTAATTAAGTTCATTTAATTCTTTTTTACAATGAATGTGGAATTTTAATTTGACTTAAGATATTAAACTTGTCCTACAATTAAAGCATATATGAATGAACAAGGTCCTATATACTATAGGTACAAGTCTTAGATACAATATAAATTTAGGTATATAAATCTATTGAAGAAGTATAGACTTAAACACTAACTTTATTACCCAAAATAGGCAAGGGAAACATATATATGGTCTTCCTGCAGGGAAAAAACATGGGGGACCCTTCTGAAAATAGGGGGTGGGGGCCGGTGGATTCTGAAATATTTTAGAGCATTATTTAGCTATTAAATATGTGGTAGGTTTCAAAGCTATGTAATGAATAACTTTTCCAAAGGCAATTTTTCTGCAATGCCAGAAATTGCTGCTGATACCTTGTATGTCCAAATTTTGGAGCATCAGACATAGATCTAGAATGGCCATATTAATAGCTAGGGTCTGATGGACCAACAAGGACGGCTGGGTCCTCCTGAATTTTTGGGTTCTCCCCCCCCCCCCCCCCCACACCTTTTATATGCTTACTTTCCCTCTCTGCACCCATGTGTCAAGACAAATTTGAAGGCTCAATATTAATGTGCGCCACCTTGTGGATGAGACGAGAACATCAGTTTGATCTTTTCATGTACATCCAAAGAATCTCTTGGTCACCTACCTAGTGGTGAAATTGACTAGCTTTGAAGTCAGGTGTCACTCCTCTATAATTTTCAAAGGACAGGTATCAGCCTAGCTTGCCATGGGCCGGGTCAATGTTTTTTACCCGAGACAAAATTAATCAAATATCTAGTCAACCTTCAATTTTGCTATGACATTATCCAGGGGTGCAGAAAGCGTACGTAAGCGTAATCCCTGGAGAATCAAGGATGATTATCTTCATTTAAATAATATGTATTGGAGTATGCAAGCAAAAGCATTCGAACCTGGTAGTGTTTGGAATCACTTCAAAATCTCTGATCAATCATCACTATTCCCTAAATGATCGATTATTGATTAATAATCGATCATAAAATTATATGAAAATGAAGAGAGATACATTCATCAAAATTGGTAAAATATGGAGGATACTTCTACATTGTGAATGCAGTTTAAGGTAAAACGTATTAGTAAAACTGCTTATTTAGGTCAGTTTTCAGGTCGGCTCCTCATATGTTACAACTCTTTATAATGTCGAAAGTCTTCATGCAGTAGTCTAATCATAATTGATCAGAAAATCATGATAAGTTATTCATAGCGGGAGGTAAAATGACTGATCATCGATTAAATTAATTAATCGGAACAACACTAGAACCTGGTATACAATACATTATATGTGTAGGTGACACAAGCTATAGTGGAGCATGCGCAGATAACAGTCACCTGCTGTTTCAGTTGATCACGCCTGCCTGATGTACAGGTATGAATTTGAAATTCAATGCCTAGTGTTTACATGGCTAGGGAAAATATAGGTCAGCCTGGTAGGTTTTTTTTAGAATCAAATTGTACACTCACAAGCAGTAGTATGGCACTTCAATCAGACACCAATAATAACAGCTTTTACTTAGTTTTATCACAAGAAGACAAACCATCAATTAATTTTCATTTTTGTAATATGCTGTCTATAATATTTACTTTATTAAAGAATATTAAAACTAGTATATTTCTGTATCATTACACATCTTGATTTACCAACATGTTATTTATTTATAAACATGTTTTACTTAATACTTTCAATACCATTTTTTAACAGTGTACTGGTTGAAATCAGAATTCAATTGTATCTTTTTTAAGCATACCATGCCCTTTACACCTAGACACCCAGTACCGTATATAGAGATTGTTATCAATGTAGTATGTGTATAGTTATAAATTCAGTAGGACACGTCACAGCTGAGTCTGGTATATATAATATATATAACTCGGTGAATATCAACAGAATTTCACAAGCCTTATAGCACTTAACTATAGTACTCTCACTTTAATTTTATGTGACAACTACCTATTTTGTAACTATAATGTCCTAAATTAATCCACTGATTTTATAAAAAAAAAAATATATATATATAACCCAATTCATATATCCTAACTATCAAATTTTCATCAAAACATTCGAAACTTCATTGAGTGTTGGTGATTTTTTTTAATCTCTACTACACACTGAAGGTTTCAAATCATTAAAATAATATCTTCTAATTAATTGGATAAGCATCATGTCTTTACATTGCAATTCCTCAACAGTCACATACAGTATCAGGCACTTGGTCATAATGGAATGAGAGAAATGTTATATAAGATGGTGTGAATGTCAACATCAGGTTGTAACTACATTGTATATATATATATATATAAATGAAATAGAATTTGAACTCCTGAGCATGAATATAATGATGTAAAATGTATGTAGCACCACAGTACAGTACACTCTTAGACCACGCCAGTTTAGTCCTCATATAATATGAGAACGTTAAACTCCATCCAAACAAACAAACCCGGACAGTTTTCAAGTACCATGTGAATTGAATGACCATGCAGTGTCTGTGAATGAAATGTCAAATGTTGGAATTTAGACAGGAGTTACTTAAAAAATTCATTATTTCATGATCATTATATGAAACCTGACAAAAGGTATGAAAAGCAACATCCAAAAGCACTGCATCAGGTCATGATTTAAGTAACTGGGTTTTAATACCGTTAATTCAATTCAATTTAAAAGAATTTTATTGGCAATACATATATATATAATATTGTAATATATCGTAATACAAACAGATAAGTTGTATATATGTTAAAGAAGATGTTAGAACAGTATTGACAAAAGAATCAGACAACAGACTATGCCTATATCAGTCTTCTTCTATTTTCGGTAGCTGTATACAATGATTAGATATATATAGAATGTTGTTCGTTTTCCTCTCACACACATGCACCCACACCCACACTAGCTCATGTGTTAATAACCATTAACTAGTCTCTGTACATATACTGAGCCACTACTAGCTAGTTGATACACATGAATTTACATAAAATTGCAAAACAATGTATGATTCTCTAACTTCTAGAGACAACTTTTATCATAATTGTAGGTCAAACAATGTAATGAAAATTTACTGATTTTTTTTTTAATCATACATGAAAGACATGTTATGTAATTATAAATAAAATAGAAACACAAATTATGAAGGAAGACAAAACTTTTACATGTACTAACTACTTGGCCCTGTTTGGAATTTACACATGTTTCATGCACTTTTGCGCAATGATAACGTTACAAAGTGTGAATTGGTCTGCAACCAGTTAGATATAACCTTACATATTACACAAATTTTGGTGCAATTTAAAGTTTAATAAAAATAAAATGAAAAATAGAATACACTTAACTGAGAGATTAACAACAGGAAATGTTAATGGGTTAATGGAATATTATATCTTAGCATTATGTTCCGTAAATCTTTACAAAATCAAAAGTTACCTCCAAAATGGAAACATGCAGTTGTGACCCCGATCTTCAAAACAGGAAATAAAAAAATCCAGGTAACTGCAGACCGATTAGTCTCACATCGGTTGTGTGGAAACTCTTACAAAAGATCATAAGAGATGACATCATCAAGCACTTAGACGAGAACAATCTGATCTCTGAAAGCCAGCACAGGTTTAGAAGTGGTCGATCCTGTACAACACAATTACTAGAAACCCTTGAGGACTGGACGGAAGCTTTAGACCATAACAATCAAATCAACACAATTTATTTAAATTTTAAACAAGAGGAGGTCCATGGGCCTTAACGGTCACCTGAGTTCTGATATATTTATACAGAGAGTTGATTTTTGTTTTTAAAACATGAACAGAAATATTATTCAAAGTGATAGTAATATAATAAAACCACCTTATTCAATATCTAGCATACAGATGTAAGACTGAAAAGTATTTGAAACTAGTACATCTGATTCTTAACAAAGAAAATGAAGAAATTTTAGCACACTGACTCCTTTGGGCCCCACCCTAGGCCTACAGCCCTTGGGAGTAGGGCTGGCTCAAAATGTTTAAACTATCAAACTGTCAATTTAATTAACTCAGGGTTATAATTCCAATCAAGTTGTCATCCAAAATATCATTTGCCAATATAAATTAAACCACAATAAATTTTGTGAGAGCACCTTAAAACCCTTCCATCTATGAAGAGCATTTGATTCTACCATATCTGGGTCTTGAGAAGGTTTTTCAGGGCTGATATGTGCATACCATCAAACTGCTATCCAATACTGATAATGCTAACCCAAATTGAATTACTTCCATTGAATGGAAATAAAAAAAATGTTGGTCCAAAATGTGATTTCCCTATATATATATACACTATAGTAAAGTTTACCCCCTCCCCAGGGGGAAACGTGAGACCCCAGGGTCATGAAATTCACAATTTTGGTTAAGCACTTTAAGACCCTTCCATCTATGAAGAGTATTTAATTCTACCATTTCTAGATCTTGAGAAGAAGAATTTTGAAGTATTAGTCTATTTGACCCTTTTTGGCCCCGCCACTCAGGCCCCTGGGGGCTGGGGACCATATAATTCACAATTTCGGTTGACCTTGGCCATGGAAGTTTTCTGCAAAATTTCATTGAATTTGGTTCAGGGGTTTTGGAGAAGAAGTTGAAAATGTAAATTGTTTACAGACACACGACGGACAAAAGCCGATAAGAATAGGTCACCTGAGACTTTGTCTCAGGTGACCTAAAAAGCCTTTGACAAGGTCCCACACAAAAGGCTGATTGCAAAAGTGGAAGGGTACGGGATAGGAGGAGCACTACTAGAGTAGATCTATATGTGACTTCATTCAAGATATGAAACAGGAAGTAGTTGTAAATGGCCAGTATACTCATCATCCAAATTGGTCACCAGTGGAATTCCACAGGGGAGCGTGCTCGGACCAGTACTGTTTCTTATCTACATCAACGACCTACCAGAGTCACTCGTCAATAAAATCAAAATGTTTGCCGACAATGTCAAACTCATAAACCAACAAAATATAATGGGGATTGATTGTCACTCCAGAACTGTCACCCAGAATGACATCAACAAGCTAAAGGTATGTGAATGGTTGATGGAACTTAATTCAGACACATGTAAACACCTCAAAATATATATACAGGCCAAGAGAAGAACAACGTCAGATATGAGATCACCCAGCAAGGGGATCCCGGAGAGACATCAAATAGAAACGTAGGTCTCATATTCAAAACTTTCAGTAGTATCAATAAAGAAATGTTTCTCAACCTTTACAAATCTTAGGTACGTCCATACCTTGAAATTAATGTTACTACGTGGTCACCTATACTGAAAAAAGACCAAATCTCTAGAAAATGTTCAAAGAAGGGCAACCAAACTTGTTCCATCCTTAAAAGATCTCTCGTACCCTGAACATATTTGTCGGCTAGGACTACCATTACTTGAATATAGAAGACTAAGATCTGATATGGTAGAAATCTATAAGCTGATAAACACCATAGATATAACCAACCAACAAATCATCACTGCATTCAAAAACCTCAATACAACGGAAACTAAAAAAAAAATGGAAAAAAATGGATAGAAGACCAGCATTAAGAGGACATGCTTTTAACAAGAGGCCCAATGGGCCTGCATCGCTCACCTGGTATTAATCTCACACTTAAGCTTGTTATCTTAAAAGTGGACTAAAATACAGCTACAGGCAGAATATCAGTGTTTGATTCATAAGAACCTATTAAAAGATTTAAATATATATATGACGCCTGTGACCTTGAATGTCGAACAAGGACATTCGGTTGAACAGAGTTTTTAGTCTTCCAACCAAGCATGCTTCTGGCAAAATATCATTACCCTGGACCCTTTGGTTATACAGAACAAATCATTTAAAGATTTAAATATATATTGACCACTGTGACCTTGAATATGGGTGAAGGTCATTCACTTGGTAGTCCTACATTCCAGCATGTTAATGGCAAAATATCATCACTCTTGGCCTTTTGCTTATTAAGAAGAAGTCATTCAATTGTTTTAAACATATTTGACCCCTGTGACCTTGAATATATATGTCAAGGTCATTCATTTGAACAAACTTGGTAGTCCTTCATCCCAGCATGTTACTGGCATTATACTAGGCCTCTTGGTTATTCAGAAGAATTTGTTTAAAGGTTGAAAACATATTTGACCCCTGTGACCTTGAAAAAAGATGAAGGTCATTCATTTGAACAAACTTTGTAGCCCTTCATCCCAGCATGCTACTAGCCAAATATCATCACTCTAGGCCTCTTGGTTATTCAGAAGAAGTTGTTTAAATGTTTTAAACATATTTGACCCATGTGACCTTGAATATAAGTCAAGGTCATTTATTTGAACAAACTTGGTAGCCCTTCATCCCAGCATGTTACTGGCCAAATATCATCACCCTAGATCTCTCAGTTATTCAGAAGAAGTTGTTTTAAAGGTTTTAAACATATTTGACCCTACTCCAACAATGTTAGAGGTCTTACACGGCGAAAAACCTTTGACAGGCGCCGCGTAACCTCTAACTGCCCATAGCTGATTTTCCCGATGCTGACGATCACATTTTCAAAGTTCGGATTAAGAAAGAGTATATCGTGTTTACATACATGTAAATGGTCAAAAGGGTCCAATTAATATTCCTTTCCATAAATCCATGATTATATGAGAAAAATTGCATGTCAAAGACATAAATAATGAGTTTTTCCTCATTCGAAGCGAAGCACACAACATTTGCCATGATTTTTGCGGTTAATACAAAAATGGATTACATGTAATGTTTCACAAGCGGAATACAAAAAAACTCTGTATCATTTCGTTCCGTTTGAAATCCCCCCTGGTATTTTTCATTAATCCAGAAGCCATGTTTTAAATGTAGGTCAGAGATGTGCTACAACGACATGGACATGTATTTTGAGTGTTCTATTCCGTAATATACTATATATTTGTGTCTGTGACATACATATGAGATCTATATTATATGAACCGTGAGTAGACATCGTTGTCATGAACTGTTAACCACTTAAGTGAGTTTGTCAAGCCGATTTTGTTCCGCCCGAATTTCGGGCGGAAACTGCATCAAAGAATTAGTGCTTCGGAAATGAGAGGTCGCAGTCGGCAAAATCATATCCGATTGAAAAAAGGCCGACCAGCGGCCTCTCATGTTATGGGAGTAATTTGACCCATGTGACCTTGAATATAAGACAAGGTCATTTATTTGAACAAACTTGGTAGCCCTTCATCCCAGCATGTTACTGGCCAAATATCATCATCCTGGGCCTCTTGGTTATTCAGAAGAAGTTGTTAAAGATTTTTACATATTTGACCCCTGTGACCTTGAAAATTGATGAATGTCATTTATTTGAACAAAGTTGGTAGCCATTCATCCAAGCATGTCTCTGGCCAAATATCATCACCCTAGGCCTTTTGGTTACGGAGAAGAAGTTGTTTAAAGTAAAAAGTTGATGCCGGCCGGACGCCGGACGCCACACCATGCCATAAGCTCACTTGGCCCTTTGGGCCAGGTGAGCTAAAAATAGAATTGTAAATATTTAGAATCAACTCCCTACAATTGTGGTTGATTTCCCAACCTTAAACGTTTTTAAATCTAGACTCAATAAGGCTAAAGCATTGGGTCAAACATTCAATCAAGCTTTTACCATCGTGCTACGTACTAATATAATATTAAGTTGTATACACGTCCTCTGCGCAACCTGTAAATAAATAAATGATTAATTGAAGCGCCAACAGAAGCAATGAATTATGCTTACAAAGCCATCGACCACCATGAACATGAACATGATTTGAAGCTGTGCAAATATGAAATATATAAAGGAAGTAAAAACATGGTTTCGCCAAACCCAGGGGTTGACACTAACACTAGTCCGCTAGTCCTGGACTAGAAGATTTCAGCAAGGACTTGTGAATCATCTAACCTAGCTGGTCCTTTGGACTTGTGAAAAATTGATTATAAAATAAGAATATTTCTTTTTAAAATTTAAAAAGCAGCTTAAAATAAGATATATCACATAATAGTTGTCAAAATTTTCCCAAAATTTCACCATATTTTCATGGCAGTAATTATTTAAGTCCCCTACAGTCCACGATTAACGTTACTTTTGATATATCATGCTGTAGATCGCGATGTTTCCTTATCAGGAAATCTTGGACTAGTTACATTGACGAAGGACTAGTAAATAATCTATTTTACTTGTCCTGTGGACTACCAATATCAGTGGCAGATCCAGAGGGTTTTTTTGGGCTTCAGGAAACCCCCCCACCCGGAGAATTTTCTTTAAAAATCATGTATTTTCACCATTTTCCTCAATTTTTCCCCACATGGAAACCCCCCCAGGAAATTTGGGAAAACAACCCCCCCCCCCAGATAGGTCTCTTGATCCGCCACTGAATATATAGTGTCTATAACCTTGCAAACCATGGAGTAAGATTCTGTGCTCAAACAAATAATGAGTGTGGCAAGTTTCTATCGGCCTACTGGGTATTACAATAAGTAAGTTCACTGTCGTATAACACGATCACACCTACTTTGCCTAAACAGGTCATTTGAGACCAAATCAACAAGTGCAAACTTTAAACGGTATGTGGGTTTCATATAGAGAGAGCACTGTTTTTGTCAAGTATAATGTGTGAGCAACAAGACCGATATACCGCCACAACTCATCAATGTGTAAATAATAGACTTTTATCATTTTATGTGCAACCGGTTGGACATTATAAATAATTAAATGAAATACAATCAAGACATCTCCAAAAGCTGATAAGCTAACAACGATTTATATTACAGCGAAAAATAAACAGCTAATACATGTGAAGTGTACAGGTGTATAAGTAAACACCGCACGATGTAACGGTCGTTTTGATAGTCAGCTATGATGCGTTACTACATTATACTGTACATATATAATCATATAGCTTTATTTACCTTACTACTTTAAACCCAAGACCAAACTGATCCTCTCCTATGTTAGCCCATGTCCCTCCGACAGATTTCCTACACCATTCATATCCTTTTCTGCGGTTCGTCAACTCTCTGTCTTCACTCATTTTCTGTCCGAGTCCAGGGAATAAATGTTTGAAGATAACGAGGACTCTACTCCACACATATACTATATATCTACGCATCTGTGTCATTTGATGTTTATCTACAGATAACATAAGTTTAGAAGAAGCCTTGTTGACTACCGCTATCACGAAGTCGCGACGCATGCTACAGTAGGCCTACTCTCCACAGGGTTTGTTTACAAACTGAGGATAGTACGGGGGTCATAGTTATTTCAAACACCCAAACGTGGTCGCTGGAGCTCTCTTACATCACTTCCGGTTAAAGAACATTCTAATGTTGCTGATGCTGACGAGGGTACGTGGCGGTCGGATCCGGGTTTTGATTATGTGTTTTTTTGGTGAGAACATGTGCCTATTATATAAATAGATCTTTAGCATCAAATAATGAGAGAGTAAAAAAACAGAAATATAATTTATTCTTATGTATAGAAGCACGGAATTAGATTAGTTATTAGCTAAATCCGTGATAGTTTAGCGTATACGTACTGTAGTATGCGTATCATGAAATACACACATAACTGTTAACACTAAAATCGAAATAGAGACTGAGGAACTTACAAAATAACATTAAACAAATCAAGTAACATAAACGTTTGAATAGATACTATTATCACGGATTTAGATAATCTAATTCCGTGCTATTATATTATTGTAGTCTACTTGCTTCTGAAACAGGTTTTAGTGACAGTTCGAATAGAATAATTTACTCCATAAGTTCAAAGATGATGTTTTATGGAATTACAGACGTTTCGCCCCGCCTTGTTCGTCTGTCACCTGATGTCCAGTATGATGATGGATTAATTTTAACACTGTTAAGTGAGATCTTGTATAGAATTGACACTCTGGCTTTTGCCCTTCTATGTGATAAAGATTCCCAATCTAATGATTTCATCATGTTTGTAATACAGCCGTTGGATCTCTAGATCATAAAGAGAGTATCTCGCTGCTCTACGTTGTACATTGTCTAATTGTTGTATGTGTGTTGATGGAATAGGGGTCCCAACAAGTTGAGGCATATTCTAAAACTGGTCTTACAAGAGTAGTATATGCCTGTGATTTAACTTTCCTAGTACATGAAGATGTATTTCGACGTATCTTATTGGCCTTGTTGGTCACTGATTGAATGTATTTGCCCCAAGTTAGGTCTGAACTGAAAGTGACACCAAGATATATATTAGTATCTACATTTTCTAAAATCTGATTATGAAGGGTATAGTAATGGTTATAATAAATGGTGTTTCTTTTTTACGTTACGTTAATACTAGAACATTTACTGGTGTTAAACTTCATTTGCCACTTTTCTTCCCATTTCTCTAAGGTCATTATTCAACAGTCTTCAATAGAGTGTATTTGTGTATAATTTAATTTTGCCTATCTCCCCCATAATAACTTTTTTGGTATATATCGTATATACCTAAAAAGAAAAACAACTTATGACGGAACTACTTTTTACACTTCAGAATGCAAAATTACAACGCAGCTTTTTTTTAGCGCAATTGTTTAGTTTACCTAAAAATTTAATAAATCTTTAACTGTGCATTTACAACGTGTTTGTCTACTTTTTTAAATTAAATTATAAAGAATGCCCAAGTATATACCAAAACAAAATCTTGGTCATTCCTTAAATATAATAGACAGTCACCAGCATATAGTTTTATATTACATGAGACTGAGTCGACAATATCATTTATGTACACCAAAATTAGGAGAGGGCCGAGGATTATCTTAAACATTTGTATCATCTTAAATATACATGCCTAAACATAGATAGTATAGATATGATTCGTTAGTTATCTACGGCACGCATGGAAATAATCTTATTATCTTTTTCATATATATACCTGAATATTATTTAAGGATGAACTTGAATATTTATTTTTATGTTATGGAGATATAAATAAACGGCAAAGCGGTTTATGATGAGAGTACACTCCGTTTTTTGTGTGTTATAGCTCCATAGAATAAAAAGTATATTCAAGTTAATCCTTATAATGTAATCTACTTTACACAATCCCTGTGGAAATCCACTTTTATCGATGGACTCTTTTCTCTTAGATATTATTACGCTGCTGTATCAGCCAATCAAAAGCGATGTTACAAACGGCGACGTCATTTTTTTACGTTATGGGCTCAGGGGGGGACCTAGGAATTAATTTTGGGTGTTGCCCAAAATTTTTAACTCAGAAAAAGACTCAAAAAATTAATAAATTAATATGAAATAGGCACTGCCTATAAGCGAGCGCACATACATGTAGTTCAGTAACCTTTGTTATGAAAGTGTAGATCTCGGGCGCCTGTGGCGCCCCAGCTAAGAATTTTAGGGTAACAAAACGAACAGAATTCCTCCTTAAGACATACGTGCGCTGAATATTCTTCCATGAAAAAGAAATGAATGGTAGTTTAAAAAAATGTATTTTAATTAAGAAAACCTGTCAGATATTCCATGTAGGCCTTTTTGTTGTTACTTATTTACTATTATTTTAACACCCTTGTCAATATATTGCCTGATTCTACTGTGCATAGAAAATATTAATTAACAACGCAAAGTATTGGAAGGCAATCCATAGACCCCCATAGCCACCGGTAAGAATTTCTATACACAAACAGTACACTTATGTCAGGAAGCATATAGGTCACAGTGAGGTCATAGTGACCTACTTCACGCCATCCCAAGATGTCCTTGTTCACCATATCTGGTTACTCCAGATGAAAAGCATATGCCACGTACAAATATTTTCAAAAGTAAAGGTCAAAGGTCAAGTCATACGTCACAATGATTTAAATCTTGCACTATTCACTCCACCATCGAAAGATGTCCTTGTACTCCAGGTGAAATAGTAAAGAATATATGGCCCAGTCCATTTTTTTCAAAAGTTAAGGTCAAACGTCAAATCATATAGGACACAGTGAGGTCAGTGAGATCAGTTCATGAAAATCTACATGTTTGCCTAAATTGCCAAGCCCAATGCCCCAGGCTAGTAAAAAATGTCAATGTTTACTTTGAAACATAAGTTGGGCTTGTACTTGTTTTTTCGAAACAACCTTCCAACTATTGTTCACTAATTATTATGTTGTGTATCTCGGCCATGTATGACTGGTACATAATAGTAGCATGACTATATTCCTGGGTGGTACCAGACCTACCGAAACTTTGGTAGTTGTCTGTCGATTGCCAGTAGGTGTTTTTCATTATAGGACACTGATTTCAACCATTTCAATGTTATAAGGTCACCATGCTGGAGTGACAGAACCCTAGGAGCAATCACAGTTAGTACGAGTCTATAATCTTTTCATAACCTGCAAAGAGCATGATAATTTCTAAGTACACACAGACAAACAATAAAGAACTGATGATGTTACAACATCTCTCATTTACAAGCTTTACCTGGTCAATAGGTCACATTCAAACAAAATAAAATTAGCTCAAAGATGATTCTAAATCAGTATTAAGTTATGAAAGATGATTCCAAATCAATATTAAGTAATTATGTATAATTTTGGTTCCCATTTTGTAACTCTAAACCATCATTCAATTTCTCAATATTCCAGTATATTGGAGAAGCAATGGCTGCAATACCCATTCCTTTTGAATAACCAAATGATAAAACAATTTAATAATTTACATTGTAATGTAAGAAAGCATTATATCGTGATTCACTGAACATATTTTGAACCTAAAGCATACAACACAGAAATGATACATATACAACAGTGATCTTATGTTATACAAGAGATACATGGACCTGAGTTGCAATGCAATTATGTTATTTGTTGTAGTGATGTGAAAATCAAACAAAAACAGAACAAAAGTTCATTTAATCCAAAAAAGGTTTTTTTTAATTCCTTGAGAGAAATTCATGTAGGGAGTGACCAACATATATTATTGATATATCATTTTTGGCAGGTACATAATTTTCTGACATACAGTATATATTGCTGACAATTTTCTGAAAAAATGATATGCATGTAGTGGAGGAATGAACGACACAGGAGTAATGAAATAACAATTTCAGATATAGCGACTTAGGACCTCCATCCATGAAGAGTGTTTGATTCTAGCATATCTGGATCTTAAGAAGAAGATTGTTGAAATTTCAGCCAATTTGCCCTCTTTGGCCCCTCCCCAGTTTCTTAATTTTCATAGCATCAAAATTCAGTCACATGATAGCTATATATAGTCATTCCAACCAACTTTGAATTTGTACCCAAAAGTGTTATTTCCCCATATAAACTACAGTAAGACCAAAAACAAGATTTACATATGCTTCGGATAATCAGATCATGACCTACATGTACCTAACCTTAATTTTTTCCTGTGGATCTTAGGGAACATTTTATCACCTACTTTGTATCCATGAAGATCATTTCACTGTTATGGTCATGGGATCCTGACCACATTCTTGACAGAATAATAACAATTGAAATGCATAGAAATTCATTTTTCTTACATTTTTTATTACCCTGAAAGTATATATTGATCCATAAAAATTAATAAAAATAAATAAAATAAAATTGCCTACTTACTGACCAACCCTATTTTTCTCTGGAATGTTGCCTGAAAAACATTTGTTTTGTTTAAGCCTAAATATTAACCTTTCTCAAGGAGGAATGAATGATCCAGAGGTAGCAAAATATTCATACATTTGAAATAGGCCTACAGGACCTTTCTGTCTATGAAGAGTATTTGACTTTAGCATCTCTGTGCCTAAATAAGAAGACTGTTGAAAATTTAGTCAATTTGACCTCTTTTGGGCTCAAACTTCTGGCAGATTAGATCCACCTGTAATTCATAAATTTGACTTGCATTTGACCATGGATCTTTCCTTCAAAAATTAACTGAAGTGGTTACTATGACGGACAACGGGCATTCACAAGAGGTCAACACCAATACTTTGATAGCTAAATAAAATAAGTTTTCTAGGTTAAGTTCACAAATCATAAATGTAATACTCACTGCCTACCAAGATGTTCAATGTCCCGTTGTTGTATGAATGCAGTAAAGAACAAATTAACAAGGAAACATATATTTATATAAAATGTACCAAGTAATGGGAAATGAGTTGTATATAACTAGTTGTTTATGTTTATATTTCTTTGCAGTATTTACATATTTCAAGTGGTACTATTATTTCCACCAGGATTTGAACCTGGGTATTCTAAGATATATACCAGTAAAATAAGAAGATCCTTATTTTTCCATTTATATTAATTATGATTCTGCAGTATAATTGTCACAAATCAATACTTGCATTATAGGAATGCACACATATACTGGTACATAAAATGCAAT